AAGCCACGTGAGAGTTAAGGAAATAAGTTTGGTTACCTAGGATGGGACTAGATTAAGCGGGGCCTTGAATGGCAGGCGGCAGGCAAAGAATGTTAGACTTGATAAAAATAGCATTGATGAGCCATTGGAGCCAAGTCAAGTAACAAGATCGCAGTGCTGTTTTGAAAAGAGGAACATCCCACTTATTAGCAGTTAGCTAATATTTTGTATTCTCCAAAACACTTTTGGATAGGAAGTACCGTTTTCAGCAAAGACGGGGAAGAAAATCTTATTTATTTCCCCTTCACTGATGATATGGTTCAACCCGCCAAATGAATGCCTGCCTGGCACCTCTCACGACTGGTTAGAACGCCTTGCATTTGGTTGAACTCTTGCTGACCTTGGAATTTCATACAGAAGCTCCTTTAAGTTGGAAAAATTTCCTAAATTTAATTCGACCATGAAGAAATCATTCCTACTGTTCTCTTTATGTTGTTCCCACACTCATCTTGAACTTACCGTTGCCTTCAAGGTGTCTTATTTACTGGATTATACATTCCTTATGCAAGGACTGTGTCTTTTATATTGTAGGAGGTCAAGTCATTTATTAATTGATTTTACTTAAAGCTACGCTTTCATAATTATAAAATTCTCACAATGTGCATATGAATAATTGAAATACTTCGAGATTATTATCCACCTTATCTTTATATCATCCCGTATCATAGTCCACATTTGCAGTTGTCTTATCACACTAAATAGACAATCTGCGCTTTATCCTGCTTTCTATTATTAAAGGAAGTGCATTAGCATGTGTTCTACCACATCCATGATTTCTTTTACTTGATTTCTGTGTCCAGGGCTAAAAGTCCTCCTGCTTCTCTATTGTCCCTTTTCTCTTACTAACTGGTTTTGCTGGGGGAGACGATGTGCCTATGAAAACACTGTATTGCCTAGACTCTTCAACAGGTAAAGGTAGCCATGTGCCTAAGTCTGGCCACTGGGGTGGAGGTTGAGGTTACTGAGCCAGAAAGCTCCTGCCTGGAATTTGGAGGCCACGGCTGAAGGAAGAGACTCCCGCTCACAGAACGATGCTGGCCTAGAAGGCTGGATGGCGCGAACAAGATTAGTTACACAATTTGCAGGGACAGCACCAAATGAAAATGTGTAATAACAGCAGACTACTAACCCGGTGCTGGGCCCCCCCGAGCATGGGTCATGCACCCGTGAAGCTGGCCCTGGTCGTGGAGGAAGCAAGGGCCTGAAGACGTCAGGGCGCCACCCTGCCAGCCTGGATGCAGGGTTACAATTTCCCCCATTTTATGGATGGAGAAACTAAGGCTCCGGCAGTTCGGTACCTGGCCCATGTAGGGTGTTGACTCAGGTCCTGTGAATTCGGGTCTCCCTCTTGTGTCAACACCTTCTTCCGTATGGAGACGTCATCGCCCTGCGCTTCCTTGTGTGCCTCCCCGTGCCCCTTCCTTGTAGCCACGTCCTCCCTCACGCGTGGTCTGGGCTTGGGACAGGGCCCAGCGCAGGGCCTCAGCCTGCAGTTAAAACATGTCCAGGAAGCGATTTGTTTCTACTTCCAGCAAAACGTTTGTACTCTGATTCCTCAGTAATTTGCCCTTTGCAGAGAGAGAGAGAGAGAGAGCGAGAGAGTTAAGATCTTACATCATTCAATTAAAAAACTCAGAATGTGTGAGATTCTATCTGATGTGTGTTTCTGTCTCCTCGACCCTTGAGGAGGAAGGCAGGTACTGGCGGTCCTTCCAGGGCTACGACGTTCTCCTCCACCGCCACGGGAAGCGCTGTGACCAATTCACTGATCTGTTTTATTAGCACGACAAGCCCAGGGACCCCGGTGTCACATCTGCGTTGTGCTTGCTCAATTTGGGCCTTGGAGCGACGACAGTTTTTGCTCAGCTCCGTCACGAACACCCCGCTTTGGTTACATCAACAAGGCAACATTTCTAGACCCCGTGTCCTGGGTGGTGCCGCCGTGGGGGTGGGCACAGCGTGTCATCACAGGTAGTCACAGTGTATCACAGCGTGTCACGTGGGATGCTGGCCATGGCACGGGGCAGCCCACCCCTCCCCCTCGTGCTTCCCTCCCCCAAGAGGAAGGAACTGTCTGTCAGATTCCGAGACGCCGAATGCTAGATGTTCGCCGGTGGCACCTTCACTGCAAGTGCTTCCCGCCTGTTGCTTGGCAAGAGGGGTCGGGGTCCTCCTAAGGCGGGTGGGCCCAGGCAGGCAATGCAGGGGGGCCTGGGGAGGACCGGGGGCTCGGAGGCTGGGGGCTTGGACCTGGATTTGGGTTGAAGTCGCTCCTCGGCCTTGACTTCTGGCCTGGTGTTACCATGCACCTGGCATTGGTGTCGAGTCCCTTGGTGATGGTCCCATTTGTGACTTATGATCCTGGGGGGGTGCCTGGGGGACAGAACGCTGGTGTTCCTGCTCCTTGACTGAAGTGTCCTTCTAATATCGTCCAATTCTCATTAAGCTTGACCCCTGTTCACGGTGAAGTATGAAAAACTGTCGGTGTGATCAAGGTATCATTAAGGAGGATTCCATGAAACTCAGTGTTGTGGGGTGAATTGTGCTGCCCACACTCCTCGTAGGACCCGCCCCCGCTCCCCCCGGCAAATTTATTTGTCGCGGTCCTAACTGCTCATATCTCACAATATGACTTTAAAGAGGTAAAATGAGGTCATTGGAGTGGGCCCTAATCCAATATGACTGGTGTCCCTATAAGAAAGGGAATTTGGGGGACAGATCCACATGGAGGGAGGGCAGTGTGTGACGAGACACAGAGAGACAACCATGTACAAGCCGAGAAGAGAGACCTGGGACAGGTCCTTCCCCGGGGCCCCGCCTCGGAAGGAGCCAGCCCGGCCGAAGCCTTGGTTTCGGTTCCAGCCTCGACGATGGTGGGACGGCATATTCCTGCTCTTTCAGGCCCTTGCTGTTCGTGGCAGCCCGAGCCAACTCCTTGCAGGGCACGCGCGCTGGGCAGTGCTGTCTTCCGAGGCCGGGGCTGCGGAGAGAGGTGGGGAGACCGTGCTGCCCTTTGTCCACTGCGCGAACACGGCAACAGCAATGGCGTTTGCCTGCGGGCAAGACGCTTGGGACGTCGCCGGCAAACCGCACCAGGTACGGGCGGCAGGCAGAGGGCTTCCAGTCTGCTGCTGCTTTTTTAAAAGAAGGCTATTGGGGGCAGGTTCTCGTGGTCTGAGTCGGGTGACGCGGAGGTCTGGTCGATGGTAAAGTGGAATAGATCGGAGGCATCTGGCCCATGGGCTCACTTATCTACTGGCGAGAATTTGTTGATGCGTAACAAGACGTTGCTAAAAACATGATGGAACATTTCTTTTCAGTCTTCCAGTTCTGAAATACTTAGTAGAGCCTGGCCACAAGGTAGGTACCGGCAATTGTAACTATTACTATTTGTGCCCAACTCTGGAAAAGGACTGCTTTTCTCAAGTTAGTGGTCAGAGGGGGAGTGCCCACCCTTGAAGTCTATACATTATCGGTGGTGCTTAATTAAGTATTTTTAACGATACTATTGGGTCTGAACATGCTGCCTGGAGCGATTGGAGTTACAACACTTTTAACTCTGGGTTACATCATTAATAATCACCTCTGAAAAAAATAGGTCTTCACCACCTGGTAGCTAGCCAAAATATTTCTTTAACAAATCAAAAACACAGTGTTTTATGAGAGAAGATAAGGAAAATCTCCAAGTGTCTCTAAGATCTGGACAAACACCTTAACCATTGGGTATTAAAGTTCTAATATATGAGGGACATTCTACCATTATGTTTGCTATAATCAAGCAAATGGAGCATCATAGAAATAAGGTTTTTTTAAAGTACCAAAAAATTTAATTCACAAAAAACCCCCAGGAAATATTATATTTGCTATGTTCCCATTCCCCTGTTCTGCAAACTAAATTTTCTGGCCTCTGAGTGACCATGGGCTGGAAAAATGGCTTAAAGGGGATACATTTTTATGGTTTTGCAAACATCTGAAGAGCAAGGATTGTCTCTTTTCCTAAATACAGGATCCCCAGCTCTGCGTATTAATCTAGAATAATAAATATACACATTCAGTCAATGCTTGTTGAATACATCAACGTGTGAATGATTTTCTGGGTGTGTTTCTGTGAACCGAGGGAAAGGAAGCAACATATCGATAAAGAATGAACATTTTTACTTTGCAAAAGGCAGGCAATTTATTGTAGTGAGATTATATTGAAGTTTTATGTGAGATACCCAACGCATATAAAGTAATTTCCTCCACACCAATGGTGAAGATATCCCTGAACTACAAGGAAACTCAAAGTGCTATAAATCAGTTAATGTTGATGTAATGCATTTTCACTAGTCTACCCCAATTAACAATCAGATGATTAAAAGGACTCATTGAAATATTTTGTACACATTGTTATCCTGGTCTCTTTGAGCAGCAGTTGGTGATGCCAGTAACACTTCCAGGCCCTGGACTCTGTAGCTTGCAGTCTGTTTCTCTCTTCTCCCTGTGGCAATTAGTTATCAGACTGCTGCTAAGTAAACTTCCAACAGAGATTTGATACATTTTTTCTTAAATGGAGCTGGTGGAAAACACGGAAATCGGCAGGCCATTGGAGACAACATTAAAAAAAGAAAACACTATTTTTACACACTAACCAGTAGCACAGCGCCCCAGGAGGCAGAGAAGAGCAATGCAGTTTACCCCAAGTTCACAATCAAATATAGACAAGAGTTTACAGAGACATCTTTGCACTTGGCGCCTTGTGCGGAATACACTTTCTCCATCTGCTCTAGGGTACACAAACCCAGGCACACACAGATGCCACTCAAGCGCCGCTGGGCAGCTCTCCTCTCTGAGGGGGGCTCTACACAACTTCTCAAAGGGAGCTTATTCTTGACTTTTTGAAAACAGAGTCTGAAAGCAGCTCTGTGTGCGGCCGCGCGCTGCGGAAACACCCCGCGTGCGCCCCGGCATCAGCCTGCTGCCTAGATGTAGGATTCCCTGGCATATCGCAGCTGGTCCGCCTCGAAGGCCGGCTGACTGCATCGCTGCGCCAGGCACTCGCGCTTACCCTGCTGCCTGGACTCGGACGCAGTTCTGAGACGGTGCAACTCGGATCTCCCAATGCCGACCACTTGCCCTACCGTTTCCACAGAAGCATGGACGGCTCTGCTCTGTTTCCAACTCTCAGTCCTGGAGGGGAGTCTTTGCCCGTCCAGCGGCCCTTGACCACACGGATTTCCCGAGTCCCCTCCATAGGGAAAAAGTAGATGAGGTGGCAGCCCAGTGTCCAGGCTGAGCAGCCTGGCCCTCATGCTGCTAACTGTCTGGCTTCCGCAGACAGCGAGGCCCAGGGCCTGGCCCCGCACGGCCTCCTCGTAGGACGGCGGGCTGCCTGGCTTCCTCCTGTCCACCAGGTGAAACACGTCCTCCACAGACAGGGCGAAGGTTCTGGAGCTAAAGTCTAGAGCTGTCTGGCCGTGGGCCTCGGACAAGCCCTCCTGGATGATTCGTCCAGCAAGCTCGCTGTCTTTTTTGAAGTCTTTCCCTGCTGGGTCCCTGGCGCAGCCTCTGGACTTGATGGACACGGAGCTGCGGGTCCGGCTCAGCCCTTTCTTGTGAGAGGCAAAGGAGAATGACATGGAGTGCTTCTTTATTTCTCTGTTGGGTTTACTTTTATCAGTCTTTGTAAAAGACTGATGTCGGGTGAAGAAATTTCTTTTGAGACTGGAAGGGGAAGCCACAGGTGAGCTGTCCAGGGATGCGTCCAGAGAGCCACTGGAGGAGGCTTTGGGTGCCAGTCCCCCCGGCAACCCAGTTGGGGTCTTCACGGTCAGCTCCTGTGGCCTCTGGTTTTTGCCTTCAACTGCGGGAAACACCTCCTCTGGAAATGGGTCCTCGGCGTCCTCGCTCTCTGAACAAGAGGCTGGCCGGGCCCTGCTGAAGTCATCCTCGCTCCGTGTGAGTTTCGGGTTAGTTTTTGGGCTCTGGAGGTGCTCTTGCAAGGACGCCATGCTGGGCTCTGAGTACCTCCTGTCCGGCTCACTGAGGCAGCTCTTCAGTCTGGCCACGGTGCTAACCACGGGCTCCCGGCTTAGGTGCCAAGGACGCTGCGGGCCTCTGGGCTCCGAGGGCACCGGGGGCAGCCTGCCCGGAGAGCTGACGGCACTGCTGGGGTCCACGTCAGGGTCATTGCTGTCGTAGGCTGAGTCATTCTGTAGGGTCGACGTGTCTGCAGAAAGGAAAGGACAGTTGAGCTTTCTGTTCCGGTTCTTTTAGCAATGACCCTGGGTACGGTTTACCCCACAGATGTCAAGTATGGCGCTAGGTAATTTGGTGGAGCCACTTTGGGGTTTGAAGTGAAAGTTATTTGCCACATTAAGTTTTTGTTTCTTTCAAAATCTACTATATTGAGATGAGTGAGAGAGAACAAAAAAGAGAGACAACAGCATTTCACTGAAAATGTATTGATCTTAAATTTAAAAACTGACCCTTTGGCCCTTTTATGGGCCCCACTTCCATTTTAATGGATTATCTTCCACTAGCGGAAACAAAAAGCCCAGTTCTGGCCCACGCGAACTGGGTGGAACGAGCGGCTCCTCAGGCTTTAGCGCGGGAGGGCGGCCCCCGGGCTCAGCCCGAAGGAGGCCTGCAGCCCGAGCAGACGCTGCAGGAGGACGGCAGGGCAAAGCCTTCACGTTTAACTGGCTCCCTACAGGTGAGCCCGCTCCCGCTCGGTGGTTTGGGAAAGCAAGTCCCACTTCAAATGCCAGAGACGCTTCGCGTCGCAACGGAACGTGGTCCTCAGGGATCGGCCACGCGCTCTGTACCTGAACTGCTGTCCGTGGGTTCCAGGGACTCCTCGGAGGCGACACTGGAATGCGCCGGAACGACCTCCCCAAATATTTCAAAGCAGTTATCGATGAGGAATTCCACCAATGTCTTAACCTGCGAGGACAAATGAGCAGATTGTCAGCCTAAACGCACTGTTATTTTTCTTACAGGGATGGGGCACTTGGTGGAGGGGGCGACTGTTAGGCAGGTGCCCAAATGAGCCCAGGGGGTTTTATGTGCCTAAAAAGAGCACACTAAGCTTCAGGAACAATCATCCCTATTAAAGCTATTTTTGAGACGTGTAGTTTTTATCTCAGAGTTAAACAGCTTTTAAAGTAGCTAAGTTTTTTTACTTAAGGAAGCAGCTTCTCACATCAGTGGGTGGACTGACTGTGTGAGGCCCAAGGGACAAAAACAAAAGGGGTTTCAGGTCCTGAGAGGCAGGGGTTGAAAGTCAGGAGCGCCGAGCTCGGCTTTCCAGGCTGCCACAGGGCGCGGCCGCGGCTTCGTCAGCCTCGCTGAGTGCGTGCGCTCAGAAGTGGACCTGCGACAAAAGCTCTCTGCACTTCACATTTTTGCTGTGCTCCCGAGGCAGAGAAATCAGAGGCGTTTCATCGCTGCGATTTGCAGACCGCCAGTGCGATCATGCGCTGGGAGTTTCTCCGACATGGACGGGGACAAACCTTATTGTTCAAGTCTCTCTGGGCTTCGAAGGACAGGTTTTGGTCGTTCTCCCGGGTCAGCATGTTGGGTCCGACGCAGATGGCCAGGTTGCTGGCGTCCATCTTGCTGACCTCGGAGTTCTTGCTGATGAGGTGCAGCACCGAGACCAGGTGCCGGAGCAGCAGGAGGTTGGGCCGGGGCAGCTTATCGGCCACCCTGGAATGAAGTTCAGGGAAGAGAGTTTAGAGGAGGTGGAGGGCTCTTCTAGTTTCCGTGGAACCAGCTGAAACTTCCTGGCCAACCCAGACTTCCTTTAAAATGAGGAAGGCGCCTTTGCACAAGTAACAAACATTATGCAATACTCATTCAGACACTTCCAGGGGCAACTGACATGGAATGAAACTGGTTAACCACTGATATGTGACAACCTAAGAAACTGGTCTTTATAATCAGGGCAAGAAATAACCTTTTATTATTTATATAGATAGGTCTTAGGTCAGGGAGCATTAACTCCTGCCATAAATACCATAGTTTAATATTTTGAAAACTGTTTTGTTGAGGAATCATTTAGCCATGTAGAATGTCTTTGTGTTTCTAACACTGCAAGACTGTTTGATTTTTTTTTAACACAATCATTTTCCTTTTCTGAACTGTGATCATGAAACAAAGACGAGACATCTTGGTACCATTCTGAGAAATCCTTGCAGAGAAGAAATCTGCTTATGAGGCACATTCATAATGATGGTCAAGCCAGCATTTAAATGGCAACATTGTTACTAACAAATAATAAATTCAATTTTTAAAGCCTCACTTTCTCAAAAAATGAAATGGTGACTAATATATGAATCATTTTCATTTTTCATAAGAAGTAATTGCTCTGAAAGAGTGTTGTGTCTTTAAGTAGAAACCAATTTTCATTTTGGAACAAACACTCTAATGTCTTCAACTCTATAAATATTCACTATTTCATTAAATATGTTCAGCCGTGTGGGACATTCGTGATATCTAGGCACACTTCCACAGGGTTGGACATAAGTGCTGATACTTTAGAGTTAGGCATTTAAGAGTCTCTGGTCACTAACATGTCATACTTTCATTTATGTATGTAATTATTTTTGCTGTGACTGGAATTTGTTTTTATGTACTTGTTACTTTGGTTAGTTATAAGAATATGAAATGTGTTGTGGACTTTGAGGGACAAAATAATCCCTTCCAGGTTCATTCTGTGCTTTAAGGGACTTTTATGGGAGATGGCGCCTTGTAGGACCGTTCTGTGGGGGTGAACGACAAACCCCAATTCCCACACCTGGCTGGGTGGCCTCCTTTGAAAGTTTCCCCTATGACTCTGTCTCATACCTTCTTGAACGATTTATAGTTTTAGACTCTCCCACTTCCTGTGATTTGTACAGAAGTTCATGTTCCGCTTTTTGAAAAAGGACCGCCTTCCATTTGGCTAACACTCTTTTTGTAAATGTCCAGGCCAAGCCCTGATATTTATTCTGGGACGGAACGCCCAGTTCCACTCTGATCCCCTCATCCTTCCAGGTTTCCTGAAACACGCTGACCACTCTGTCATGAATGAAAAGACAGAGCCCGCGTGGGCCCACCCCCCGGGAGTGGCGGGGACTGCCTACCGTTTCAGGGCCTCGATCCGCTGCTCCTCGTCCGGCGTCTCCACGGCCTCCATCCACTCCTCGAACAGGTCCCAGGACAGCAGCTTCCGCGGGATGCCCCTGAGGAAGTCCTGCAGGAGGGAGGAAGGGCGTGGCGTGGCCTGTGTTGTACAGCGTGCTGGCGTCTTCATCTCGACTTGGTTCCCTCCCAGCGACGCTGTGCCCGTCCTGCCACCGGCCCTGCCTTCTCCTTCCTGCACTTGGTTCATTTGGGGGAACTCGCTTTCTCTCTCGAGTCGTCTCTTAGCACCTTCCTATCAACAGGCACGGTAAAGTCACCACCCAAGGGGCCACCAGACTCAGGGTATGCGCTTGGCCACGGGACGGCCCGAGGGCCTTTCTCAGCAAAATTGTGGGGAAACTGAGTGCTTCGCTTTCTGCTGGAATCTGGGATCACGGAAACACAGGTGTTTATATAAATAAAGAAGAGGCTTAACTAAAAATGTTAACCCCAAGATCAATGTGCTTTGATTCGCAGAGAGAAGAGCCCAAGGCTTGTGTCCTGAGAATGAGCTAATGTGTCAGGGCCCACTGGCAGGTCCCGCGGTGCCAGTGCTGCGGACTCACCTTGAAGACAGCTGCCAGCAGGTGCACCGGGAGGCCCTGCAGCTCCACCGCGCTGCCCGCGCTGAGCCCCTCCTTGAGCTCTTTGCGGGCTTTCTCATTGGCTGCTTTCCTGAATATCCCTTCAGTGGAAGGGCCTTTGAGGCACAGGATAGCGAGAATGTCCTATAAGGAAAAGGCACGAGAACAGGAAATGGTTACCCTTGAAGACACACTTTGCTACCCATGCACTAAAAACCCATGTGTAGGCAGGAGAAAGAGAATTAAAAAAGTGCATAGGAATGGCAGCTAACTTCATCTGCCATAAAATATCTTCTCCCTAAGAGTTAGTTCTCCCTGATACTAAGTTAGCCTTAACAAGCAACTATCGATGCCACTTTTTCCTTCAGTCCAGTTGCTAATAAACACCTTCCTCAACTTCCGCCATTTTTCTAAGGGGAGGTAAATTGTGAAAGATCTAATTTTGTACATTCTAAAACTATATCAGGCCTCCCTCCTTGTGAATCACTCCACACAAACAATGGCTTTCCGATCACGTGTGCTGCTCCGTGCCTCGGTCTGTGGGTTTTTCAGAAGCCGCACGTTTTCAGCATTCTTAAGCCTGTGAAATCCAGGATAAAGTGACCATCGATCTGAGCTCGTCGGCGAATACAGCCGCTTTCTAGAGTGTAGGTGGCCAGGTGTTGTCCCGACTGCCCTTGTCGGTGGGACAACCATTTTTCAAAGCGGAAAACATTAACGATGAGCCTCGGCAAGCTTGGCCCAAGGCACTCAGACCGCCCAGGGGTTTGTCGCAGCTGGCAGAAAACTGAAGTGGGTTCCCAAGCAAATGCGTGCCTACCTGAATGGGTCTGGGCAGGGCGTCATCGTCACCACAGATGACGGACAAGGGCTGATCAAATAGGGGCGTTTTCAATTCTGGCTCTGAAGCCCCAGAAAAATCTGATGAAGGAGAAATCCGTCTCATGAGAAAGGGCCAGGACAGCACCTTCTTCCTCTTCTTAACTTCTACAGCAAGAGAACAAGGCAAGAAGAAAACTCAAATTAAAATACGAACAAACCCAGATCCCTGTGAGACCAGGGGTATTGTCAGTCACATAATGTCCTCTCTGGTTTGCCATGGGGGGAAATACTTTTAAAAGAACCGAGAAGGCAAAGGGCATGCATCTTAATCTCAAAAAAATCAACCTAGAGAACAACCACATTGTTACCAGGGCAACCAACCCCTAAACAACACCACCAAGGTTCTTCGATGTCTCCACCTTTCCTGTTTTTACCCTTCATCAGCTGTTTGCCACAGAAACTTGTGCAGGTCATAAACAACCATGTTGATATATTGACCTTAATAACTGTGGCGGACACCTTTGATGTTAAATATATTATTTTAATTTGCTCCTTTGACTAGTGAAGAAAACGGAATTTAGAAGGACAGGAAGTGACTTGCTCGAAAGGATCATCTTCAAGACAAGTGGCGGGGGCTGGCTGTCCAAGATCTGCAGCCACGCTAGTACCAACCAGCCACTAGGGGGAGCTACACCACTCAGCCTGCAGCCACCGCCAGGGTTTCTTTCCGCTCCAGGAGCGGGGAGACTAGTGTTGCAGGAAGGTCTGAGCCTAGGCTTGGCAATTGGAAATTATTAGTAAGCCTTACCAAAATACTCTGTCTTTGCAAAATCCTGAAGATGCGTGGGCAATGCATACTGCCTCTCACAAATTTCCTTCTTTTCCTCTCCCTTTCCTTGTCCATTTCCCCCTAACTATAAATGCTCTATTTTCTGAATGCATTAGCATAAGTTTCCATGCATTTCATACTGGCACGTGGGAGGATGGGGAGAGAAGCGGCTTGTCCTCCTAGCTCAGGAGCACTGGGTCAGGGCTGCGTTATAATGAAAAGCACTGTGAAAAAATGGAAAGTGAACCGTGGTGCTTTGAATTTGCTATCAGCAGCGATTGCCGCATGGGCTCTTGAATTCACTTTCCACTAGAAAAGGGAGAAAACGGAAAAGGCGTTGCATTCTTCACGTGCATGCATGCTTTAATTGTCAAAGCATTGACAGCCAGGGGGCCTGGAACCCCAGTGAGACCCCCCCCCCCCAGAGCTGGTGGTGGCTAGTGGGAGGATCTGTTCTGAGTACTCTGGTGCCCTCTGGAGCCTGCCTGCCGTTTAAGTGTTAATGTTCTGCGGTATTTAAAAGAACACTAAAAAAAAAAAATTCCTAGTAAAGTAATGTCCTGTGGTTTTGCAAACCAAGAACATTTGCTGTTAGCGCTTACATAAAAGACCAGCATGCTTTCAAATCTCACCAGTTAGCTGGCAGATACTGTCTTCACTCTCGGAGGATGCCAACAGAAGATGTTCCTTGATATCACCCTAAAAATATGTTTATTTTAGTTAAAAATAATGGCTGAAGAAACCCACGCAGACTTTCCCCATAAAATACACATATAACATTTTATTCATATTAAAAATTAGTCAATGGAGTCCACTGATTTTTTTCTAGCTTCTAGAATCAATAGCAAATTCTTGATTGTTGCATATAGATAGCCTCATTAATGCGTTTAATATACTGCATTTATAACATTAATTTTCTATTCTAATAATTAAAGGAAACAATAGTCAACTAAAACAAAGTTTTGCCCCTTCTCCCGGTGCAGAAAAAAACTTCTAAAAATTGCCTTCTTACCTCTGATTGACATTCAATTAATGTGTCCATATTACTGCCATTTAGTGTTTTTGGCTAAAAGAAAAAAAAATTAGGTTAGGCAACTGTTTAACTTGACTGCAGAAAATAGGAATCAGTAACTACAGGAGAGAGGGGCACGCACAGCATTGCAGGGGCTTGTCAACTTCATGAGCGTCTCAGCTGATGGTCCAGGGACGAACGTCACTCCCGCGTGGCCTCGGCTCTGCCTGCGGAGAAATCACATGGGAAAGAGTTAGGAGGGAGACACACGACAAGTTGGCTAATTTCAGTGTCACTTTGCCAGAACACAAAGTTTGAAACTAGTAGGTAGAAACGTTTTCATGTACGGTACAGCTGTCTGTCACCAGATGTCTAACAGTATTAAGAACAGCCTCTGAACGCACATTTCTTAGTTAAACCTGATACCGTCACTGTGCCAAACTTTGTTATGCATTTATTATATTCCCATCAAGAGATCATTTGAAAAACAAGTACAGTAACAAGTAACATTTTTTTTGGCGGGGAGAGCTTACTCTGTGCCAGGTATTATATTAAGAGCTCCTCGTGAAATTGCTCATCCAACCCAAAAAGGAAAAAGCTCACTCCCGGGATGCGACGTACAGTAGACACAAGACAAAGAGCACATTCACAGAATCCCTGCACCCCAACCTACAGCCTTCACCTGGAAGCAAAGCCTCCCAGCTCAGGGACTTGAGAACCCTGCTGCATCTTGCGTGGTGGGGCTGTTTTCTTTCAGATCTGATATGAGAGACCAGGGACCTGCGAGTAGCTGGCTTTCCAGTCCTGTGAGTTTATGGCACTTACCGGGGGGCGGGGCGGGGGGCCTCCAGCCAGCGCGCCTCTACGTGCGGGGAGCTGTGGGAAGCGGGAGAAACAGCCTGACACGGCTCCTTCTGACCCACCAGTGGACAGCCAGAGGCCGACTGCTCCAAGTTCACGTGCTCTGCATTATAAGCGAGGGGGCGGGCAGGTGGAAACTCAGAACCGACGGGGGCCGGAAGAGCATCATGGGTGTCACAGAGGCTAAGCCAGACGCTGGAGAGCACCCGCTTCCTCATTCCTTTTAGGGCAGCTCTGATTCTTTTTTTTTCCCTTCCATTTCAAAGTTAAAAAAAAAATCTGTCAACTACTAGGGGTGGAAAAGATGACAGATGGCCCTCGGTGAAGGCTCTGATTAATGTCACAGGTGGGATGTGTGACTAGAAACTAGGGTTATTCTGTATGTAAACATCATTTTATTTTCTAAAGTGGTAATTTCAGCTGCCCCTCCTTTTTTTTTATCCTGCTTGAGTGCTGTCTCCTCTCGTGCCACTATCTACTTCGTTCCTCAGTCCCCGTACTTGGACTAGCGCCCTCTGAGCACGGGATAATGTCTCTCCAGGAAACCCAGGACATGCCAGGGAGAAGGGGTCACCACCCAACGCCAGGTCTGCTTCCGCTGGAGTCAGGAAGAGAGTCCGCTAGAGCAGTTGTCATATTAACCTTCTCTTTCCCTAACTCCTAGTCAAAGTTAATACTTCATTCACAGATCAGCGCTCACGCTGACATGGAAGGAAAACAAAACGTCCTCTGATCAAATCAAATTCAAGGAGAAAGGAGATGGTGAATTTCACCTGCGGCTCCCTCCTTCTGGATAATAGAGAATCTCCGGTCTTTCCTGTGGCTGAAAGGCTCTCTCTAGAATGACTGAAATGCCCTGACAGTGGAATGGATACATAGCTATAGACTGTGATGTATCCACACAGGGGAGTGTTATATAGCGCTAAGAACACAGAGTCCAAAAATACATTCAACAATAGGGTTGGATCTCACAAAATAACATTGAGTGAAGGCAGCCAGACCCAAAAGAGCACATCTGTTTGCGAAGCACAACAGCATGAAAGCAGTAATAGAATAACATGATTTATAAATTTAAAAAAATTATTAAAAAAATAAAAATAAAAACCCCCCACAACACCATGAAAGCATTCTACATTGGACCTAGCCTGGGGCTGGGACATGAAGGTACTCTCTCAGTAAGTAATTTCCAAACAAATATGTTTGTTTACTTAGAAACACTACTATATATCACTATAATATATTCTTTGCTAATATGTATTTCATGAACTTTTTTTGGTCTGACATACTTTTTGGGTTCTTCTAAGAAACTTAATGTTTAGGCTCCTCTTATGACCAAAACATCGATCCTCAATGGAAATATTTCCCCTTTTTAGAGAGAGTGAAGACTATATTTTCTCTAATCCTTAGGGTTTTTTCTTTCTGTCATATACTGTCCCCCACAATACACATTCAATGAGTGATTTAAAAACTGTTTCTTTTTTCCATGAGATTCTGTATTCAGAGGAAGATCGTGTATCTAGAATATTGATAAATAAAATATGAAAAAATGTTTTCACGTTTTATTTCTCTCCAGTGGGCGAGTGGTGGGGAGAGCCTGGGCCTGTCTCTTTGCCTCTTCTGCTGACAAACTCAAGCTGGTGGGAGGGGTCCCTTGAAGAAACTCTCAAAATCCCATAGGTTTGGTCTATACAGCCATTCCCCAAGTGCATCCTGGGAGCATGGGGGTCCTTGAGGCCCTTTCAGGAGGGTCCACAGGATCATGACTACCTTAGTAATACTATGAGATGCTCTTTGCCTTTGAAAACTGCTCTCATGAGAGCGCAGGGTGGAGTTGTCCAGGGCTGCCGGTGTCGGAGGCCCTGGTGCTCGCTGCATGGGTGCAGGCTTGGGTGTTACAGAGCGTTAACATTTTCTCACTTTTAGTTTTTCCCAAGGTACTCATTGGAAGCTATTGCTTACACAAATTAAGCTCTTAAGAACTGTTAATGATTTCGTAAAAAGGATTCTTGAAACCAAGACGTTCGAGAACTGCTGACCACGTTCTATACACTTGTCTTGTGCCATTTCCCCATTATTTCCACTCGAATCGCCATAGCCGTTTTCAATGGAAATCACGTTCCTTGGGTGTGGTCTGATGAGTGAAGGAAGAGGCCATCCCGCTCCCTGGAGCCCCTGGCCCGGCCACCTGCTTCCTCTCCCAGGACAGCGGCGCCCAGGCGGTCCCCGCTGCCTGCCCACTTCCGAGCCTCGGGCTCTTCATGGAGGTCACTTCACGTCTCAGTTCCTCTGGCGACAACGTCCCTTATTATAAACTCAGCCATCAACACGTGGCAATGCAGAAGAATGAGGAAGTCAGGCGAACATAAGAAAAGCGCCATTTCCCGTTAGATATGTAATTCTAAAATTTTTTGCACTTTTAAGTGAGATCTGATTGTTGTTAGGGGCGATATATTTTTCTCATGTAGAGATTCACATCTTTAAATTTATTATAAAATAGAACAAGAAATAGACATAAACATTCATTTCAGTAATAACTTTTGAAAAGTAGAATAATAGGTTGTATGTTTGTTAATGATGTGGTAACTTTGGACATCTTGAAAAAAAGAAATGATTAAAATGCAAATGCTATCAATTATATTGAATTAAAAATGTCCTCTAACCTACTGTTTTTCCCTTTTTTTTTTTTTTTTTGACATTTAGAGTCAGATTTAGTTCATGGTCCTGAAACTTCAAAGCCTCCTGTCAGTTTCATTAATAACAATAAGTAGAATACCATTTACAGAGCACGAAGGTTCGTGACCTGCAAAACTGTCACTACTGGTTAGCATTTTCCACTGGTGTGTAATTCTTCTTTCAACCTGCCATGCCCTCCTTCGGTGAGGAAGGGAAGCGCCAAACTGTCTAGGCTGGGAAGCTATTAGTTAATACAGCAGAAAAGAGTAAGTTAAGGCCCTGCGGTTTTTTTAAAGCAGGAATGTCTTTGGGCTGTTCTTACAGACGAGACCGCTGATGGGAACTCTAAGAGGGAAGTTCCCTTCTTGGCGCCCCTGGGAGAGGTGGACAGTTATCCTCTAATTAGTTTCGAAGTGACGGGCAGCCACCTTCTGCAGCTGCCCGGGTGCTGACTGAGGGACAGCGCCCATCCTTAGTGCCGTGTGTCCAGCACATGGCGCCCACTGTGGCACGGAGCGGTGGGGTCAGAGCGAGCTTCAGTGTCCCTTCCTGGCCAACAGCAGGAGTGTTTGTCACGACAGTGTGCAGGTGGGCAGCAGGTCCATGCATGTCCGTTGGGGTGAGAAGGATGGGGCGGGGACCTCCCTCTTTACCCACGTGATCAGCAGACTTAGGTTAATAGCAGTGCTTTAGGGTTAGGCCCTTGGCCTCTAGCTTTGCCTGAAGTAAGGAGGCCTCACCTGAGACAGGCTTGAGATGGCAGGTCTCAGCATTCTGAGTCCTGGGAGGCGCCTTCTGCCACTGACTGGAGCCACAGCCACGCCCGCCCGCCTCCCCGCCTCCCCACCTCCCCACCTCCCCATCCACAGCCCTAAGCTCAACCCTCTTCACGGAGGAGGAGAGCCCCTGAGGGTCCCACCCGGACCCTCCAGCTCCATCTGCCGGTGGGGGCTGGGCTGTCCTGTCCCTCGTCCAGGCTGCGTGCAGGCAGAGGCGGCCTGGAAACCAGGGCTTGGAATAAAGCCCCAAGGGAGCAGTGGCATCAAGGCAGCCCAAGGCTCCGCCTCTCTCTCTGCCACCAACTCGCTGCTGTCCTGACCAGTCCTCCCGTCAGGCTTGGAACTCGGTGACTGGCCAAATCCTTTTTGTACAGTGACGTTGGTCATTGTCAGTTGGCAGTAAAGCTCCTCGCCTGCCTCTCCTCTGGGGAAAGTGGAGGAAAGTCTCTGGGTGTGTGGGTGGAGGCCAGCGGGGGTCGGGGGTCGAAAGAGTCCTTGTGACCCTCCCAGCCCAGGGCTCACGGAGGCTGCCCGGGGCAGAGGGCGGGGCGGGGGGTGGGGAACTCGGTCTCGAGAACAGTAAGTCCAGTCGGTGTCCCTGAAGGTCGTTTCTTTTTTCCTGGCGGGACAGGGGCTGCAGCCAAATTCTAACTCGTGCCAGTGCGTGAGGGCGGCCTGCACCTCTCCGCGGTTTGCCGGGACCCCCATCCCTGAAGCACCAGGGTGTCCTCTGGCTCCCGGAATGACGACGCCCTGTACCCACAAATGCCTACGTTGTTGCAGCAGGTGCGCATTAAAATTTGCCTCTCAGATCTTTAAGATATTTGCCTCTTCAGATAATTAATTTATCGTTGTATTGAAATACACACTAGCCCATGCATAAAATAATATTTGAAGAATTCTGTGTCTTCAGAAA